TATATATATATATGGTTAGTATTCTGTATTACTAGAGGACCTGCCTTTTATATGGAAATGAGAGAGAAAGGGACTTTGCTATGGAGTCACACTTAGTTATCGCCCAGCTAGAACATATTTTCAGAACCAGTGGCATTCCTGGGGGTCGGCGGGTAGTCCATACCAGGTATTAGCGGGGTGTCCGGATGCAGCCACTAGCAACATGCAAAGTGGCAATGGTGTGCCAGGTGCAATCAAGCACCCAGTACTGAAAGAACGCAGAACTAGTATTATAGTCATGGCCATACTGAGAGAGAGAGAGCTTGGAATAGGAGCGTGTGTTCAGGTATGTAAGCAGTAAACACCAATGTGGGGGGGTTATTTCCAATGCTGGAAGAGGAGGTGTTTATTGTCCTGGCCAGTCACTGACCATGAATGCTGGGAAGTGGGGTTATTTTTTTAGCCTGTCTCAGACCACCAAAGCTAGGGGGTTAACATTACTACCACTGACCACCAATGAGGGGGAATTATTATGGCCATTTAATCTAGTGCTTGAGGGTTGTTATTGGACACTGTTATTAGTTTTAATTACCGTTGCCTATTTTACTCTTACACTACAAGCTATACCCAACTAAAGACAACTGCTTTATTGGCCATGCCTCCAGTTGCTTGATGGGCGACATGCTGCACCCTCTGCATTTTTTCTTAATAAAGTTACAACCACACCTACAGCTGTTGCTGTCCGCCCTCAACTAGCTAATTATTCTTCCACTCCCAGAGTGCATGATGTCTAATTTCATGATTATGAACTAAGAATAATTTTGATGTGTGGTGCTGGTGGTGGGGTTTAAATAAAAATGATCTACCCTGAGTGTCAGACATGCTAGGTACGCCTCTGATTAGTTCACATTTCAAGCATGAGGTATCCTGTGTGAATGTATCTGGTTGACAAGAAGGAAAACAGTGAAGAAGCAGGTTAGAAGTTGAACTTTAGAAGAGTGGTTTGGCCTACTACTGTGCCCTGGTGGTGGTTCTAGCAAACACCTGATGCTGAATGTCTCTCACCACCTCATGTCATTTTTCTCTTTCTTCCCCTTTACTTTTCTACAGCAGCCTATCTTCTTTCTGGATATGTGGTCATCCCAGCTTGTCCTTTAAGGTTACTAAGTTCTAACTTAAGTCATCCAAACTTCTTTCTTCTTCCTTTAGCAATCTTGGACACAACATTTTCTATTTTTTTCCATTCTGAGTATATTGGTAGATTTTTGATATTATTATACTGTTACATTGTTTGAACCTTTCTCCTCTTCTTCTAGTAATGGAGATCTATGACACCATAGTGGAAGAGAATTAAACAATGCTGCAGGAAAAGTTTACAGCAGTTTTTCTATGCTTGTCTCTTTAAAGCATACATAAAGTCATAAACCGCTCCTGATGCTGCCTACCATCTTTTAAACTAATAAGAGCAGCCGAATGCTTACCTGTCTCCAGGTCCATTTTATGTAGGCAGAGGTATTAATTGTATGTGGCTGGATGCTAATCAGCAGAACACAGATGTGACCACCCCTGTGCTCTCCCCTTCTGTAAGCGTGTTCATTGTTAGATTGACAGCATTGCACCTTTTTTTTTAATTACTGAATGTGTTTTTTCGTTATATTTTTATCTCAGGTATTCAGGAAGATTGAGAGACCAAACCTACATCATTACCTTCCTTACAACGTGTTTTGTGCTACCTCTGATGCTCATATTTGTGTCCTATGGAAAACTAATGAGGAAGCTGAGGAAGGTGCGTAGATCTGGGAATGAGCATCAGAGTCCCTGTTAAAGAACTAATACTAATAGTATTACAGTACATGGTAGAGTTAAAGTATTGGAATACACTGACAAAGACTGAAATGGATCATTGATACCTTATAACATTTAAGTCCAGAATTTTGTACCTCCAATCCTTATGTAACTCCCGACACATCATGTTTTCAGAATTTCCCCCTCAATGCTGTACTGTGGATTTAATCACCTGTGCAAGACTAAGAAAATCTGGAGGTCAGAACCTGTTTAGAGAACTTGAACTGAGAAAAGCTGATTAAGCCAAAGCAAATCCAGTTATTTCAGAAATCTAAATCAAACCTGTATTAAGTATGAGCCCTGCTGTTGCTGCTCTCTTCTCCTGCACATTCTGTTTGCCTAGCTGCCATACTTAAGGCTTCAGTGATGCTAAATCACTGTGTTGTGACTAAGTTGTAGGAATTCAGACTTTCTTGAGCTGCATTTTTGTTTCAGGTCAGTTTCTTAAAGTATTGATCACAGGTACAGCCAGGCATATAGCATTTTTAGAAGGAAATCTTCATTTGCAGACTGCATACTTAATACTCATTACAGGTCCCATTTGAACTGAATGCAATACTAACAACACTCCACTAGAGGCCGCATGCAGGAAAATATACATTTATATGTTTAAAATAGTACATCAGGTATGCTCCTAAATTGTTCCCTTCTGTTTGGAATTTTAATTTTGCATGAGACATCTACGATATATGCCCTGATTGCATTCACTAAACTCATTGGACCAGTTGCCAGTTTAGTGCATTCAGCTGAACACAGGGATATCTGTGTACACTGTTGGCTGCAGGACAGATGACATTTAGACCCCATTCAGGGTGACAGCGCTTCAGCGCTTTATTCGCGCATTTTTATGTGCGTTTACAGGCATTTTCTGTTCATATGTAAGAACATTTAAAGGATTGTTTTCAGCTCGTTTTCATTTATCCAATGAAAAGCAGTCTCAGCTGCAAAAACTCGCTGATCAGCGAGTTTCCATTGAAGTCTATGGAGCAAAACGAGGTGGATCACAAAAGAAGTTCAAGGATTATTTTGAACAACGGCATATTTTTACGTGCGATTCAGCGGGTTTGCGTGAACAGCCCCTGTAGGAATACATGGGATTTTGATTTGCATGCGTTTCAGCGCAGAAAAAAACGCGCAATGAAATGTCCTGGTGTGAATAGGGCCTGAAGCAACGCCTTGCATTAGAGCTGGTTGGAACAACTGGAGACAAACAGACTTAAAGCAAAAGTGTGTAAAGTTTTGCAAAACAGACACTATGGAAATATAAAGCTTTTTCTTGTCTTTTTAGTGTCACTGGACTTTGAGCGCAGTAGTTGCAGATCAGAAAGTACTACAGATTGAAAATCCAGTCCTCTATAAAAAGTCAGATAATGTATACATCAATGTATACTGTGCTTCATGGTATAAGCCTTGTCACCAGACGTGAGTCCAGCTGTCCTATGACTTGATCAGAGAAAATCTGGACACATGGGAGCCCTGTCCTACATGTTTCTTAGAGGCTAGACAGAAAATCACTGCTAGTTATTAACTCCGGAACTATAGGCAGAGGTAATGAGTTTCAGCTAGAGATGACCTGGTATTCCTATAGAAGGAGGTCTGCGTCTATACCAGACAGGGTGCCACTTAGCATTGTGCTCCCACTCCCAATTCAAAACACTAGCCCATTGGTCCCTCACAAAGGGTGGTGCTGGTATTTTATGAGGACTTAATGTGCAGTGTTTTATCACTCAGTGATTATGTAAAGGGTATCTAATCCCAAACTCAAGAAATCAAAACATATTTCTACCACTTTACAAAACACTGGATTGGCCTCATCTTAAAGTATGTAGTTCAGTTTTGGTGACCAATCCTCAGGAAGGATGTCCTTAAGCTAGAGAAGGTTCAGAGCACAGCAACAAAATTAATAAGTGGGATGTAGGGCCTGAGTTATGAAGAATGACTGCAAGAATTAAACAGTGACTACAAATTCAGCAATGGAGACTGCAGCATAGGGAATAAACTGTTTTAACTTAGAACTCTGAAGAGGACACAAGGCCACAACATGAAGTTGGTCGAGATGAGGCTTAAAGCCCATATCCACCTTTGTAAGTGATTAGCATTGATTGTAGTAATGTAGAGGTGCAGTGATGATGTATATGTGTGCACATTTTCACGACTCACATTGTAGGCTTTCTTTTTTTTATAGATTTTTTCATTAGGCCTGAATCCTACAAATTCAACATTTTCCAGAGAAAACTCAGTCTGACACGGGGGTCGGATTGTAAAGCAGGCTGTAGACAGCTGCCCCCCTTCCTATAATTCTGTGTAACACGATCACTAAACAACAGCTCTGCCTTTGCACACAATAAATTGTCCTGTGGGGGTTGCCACAATGAATACTAATGAATGGGGTTACACAGATGGCTTGCAGAGCACAGAGGCAGCTATTTCCATGAGGATATGAAGAGGAAAGCTAACAAAAAAGTTCAGTTTCTGTGTTCATATACAGCAACTGCATATGCCTGCTTCATTTTTACTCTGTGTACATTACTGGCATATGTTTTTTTAAAACCTCTGCAAGGTGGAAAGGGGCTTTAATCTCAGGCTGTGTAAGGGGTTTTATTTTCCAGAGCAGTAAAAATGTGGAATTCCTTTCTGCAGTTAGTGGTATCAGCTGAAAGCATTGAAAATTTCAAAACACACTTAGCTAAGTTTACCGGATATACAGGGATATGTACACACATATAGGTGGAACTGGATGGTCCTATGTTTATATTCAACCTTACTATGTAACGGTGTAAAACAAAACATGTAATATATTGCAGCTTACCATACCCTGGATGTGGTGGAAGAATTACTTTATCAGTTTTTTTCCCTTTTATTTTCACCAAGTGATCTGCCCAGTAACACTTCCTGTCTTGGGGTGGAGCCACTCTATGGAGGGGCAATGGAGCCACCTTTGGCCAGCTGTACTGTCAGTGTTAGATGGACAAGTAGATTTAGATAGACTTTGCTGAACATAAATAAATAAAAAATTACATCCTAACTCCAGCTAAAGCTTTTTAATCAGTTACAGCAACCATTTCTTGTTTCTTTTGGGATAAAGGTTTGACATAAACGAATACAAGCTGACCAATGTAAGCACCCCTGCAGTGTTAAATTGTCTGTAACTTCTATCAGCCACTTTTGCTGGACAGCTGGCACGGAGCTGAAATTTAATAGACATACTAGCTGGATCACCAGGGGAAAATAAGGGAAAAAGGGCTAAAACCCAGGAGTGCTTGGTGCAGGACTTTACATTGCAGTGACTTAAGGTTTGATTCCAGTATTGTGACAAGATGGACAACTTTGTTTTAGAAAAAAAATCATGACATTAGCAATTTTTTTCTGCAGGTATCGGACACTCAAGGCAGACTGGGTTCTACCAGAAAACCAGAGAAAGAAGTCACTCGAATGGTAATAATAATGATCCTGGCCTTCCTCATCTGCTGGTCACCGTACGCTGCATTTTCTATTCTCGTCACAGCGCACCCAACGATAGAGCTGGACCCAAGACTATCTTCAATCCCAGCATTCTTTGCAAAAACAGCTTCCATGTACAACCCCGTTATTTATGTATTCATGAACAAACAGGTATTGTGTGCATGTTCAGTACTAGTTTTTATGCATGTTTTCCTTTGGAAAGAAAGGGAAATAACTACTAGACATGAAAGCCGGACATTCATTTCGTTTCGTTATTTAATTTTTTGGAATTCGGGTCTAAAAGTCAATTCGTTTCATTATTCGGACTCGGACGAATCCGAATTTTAGTTAGAGACACTAAACTCAAGAGTAAAATCTTAAAAATGCATTTGAGTACCTTTTAACTATTCATAAAAATGTAACTTATTTGTGTATCACTCGGCTGTAGATCCTCAAATCATCTCTGAATTGGTGCTGACACTGTCCTTCCTTCTGGAGGGTGGCTACTTTTCTTTTCTAAGGTTCCTGTGTGTGTTGTAAAGCAGCCACCGCTCCAAGCTCGCTCCTGTGATGGACTACAATCTTAGTATAAACCAGTAAACTAAACATGAGATTTTAGTCTATCACAGGAACGAGCTTGGGGCAGTGGCTACTTTATATCACACACAGGGACCTTGGGGAACAGAAGTAACTACCCTCTAGAAGGAAGGACAGAGTCAGCACCAATTCAGAGATGATTTGAAGATTTAAGGAACTTGAATGTATGTATTTTTAAGATTTAACTTCTGAGTTTACTGTCACTTTAATTTTGGATGAGTCAAATGATAATTACGAACACATGTTTGTTGCAGAAAAGTGACATTAAATGTTTGTTTCTTTCTTTTTAACATTTAACAGTAGAACAATACCAGAAAACCCACGTGCTGTCCCCCCGCCTTCCCAACACTTTAGGGTCTACAGCTTTGGGCATAAGGCCTTTCGGGCAGTTTGAGCTTGAATTTTCATTTAAAAAAAATTGGATACCTTCAGATTCATTATTTTCTGTCATTTGGAAATTCAGATGTATCCGAATGTCCCAATATGCAGAAATTCGTCAGAATTTGAAACAAACCTTACATGCCCATACTGACCACTAATGGTTCTAGCTGCAAAGAGGTGCTTTCTTTTCAGAGTATATTTTAGGTGTTTAAGTGTTAAGTATTGTATTCATGGTTCTGTAGGTCTGGACATATGGGTGTCAGGCAGGTCCATGAAAACAATCTGTATTATTTTAACCCCTTCGTGACTGACGACGTACAGTGTACGTCGCCAGCATCGGGGCTGTATAATTCTTGCTTTTTGTAACATGCTACATGTTACAGGTCCATCCTTATTAACCATAGAGTCCCTATGTAGCTGCAACCACTGTACTGCTATGGGTTCCTCACTAGCCATATCACACTCTGTATCACTTCATTTGTAGCAAGCTGTCTGTAGACTTTTCCATTTGAAAGGGAATTCTGAATTCTTTCTGATTGCTCCCATCTGTGCATGCCCCAGTAGATATGAAATGCCGACGAAGAAAGATTTGAAAGAGAGCGTTTGAAAAAATATCAATGTATTGATCAACTCTTAGTTTTAGACTATTATAGATTTTAGACACCGTTATGGACAGTCCATAACGGGCTGTAGAAAGTAAGTCATTAATAATTAGTTCAAGTGGTTGGTAGTTTTGGCTGCAATTAGTGTATCTGAATCATCTACATAGCTAGGATGTCACTGATAAAGCAAAAATAAGCTCTCTACATTTTTTCCTGCTAGGTTTCTCAAATTGCTTAGTATGCTAAAGGACACGAAAGTAGCACCAAAGTATCAGCGTCTTATTTTTCCTCACTTCCTGTCCTGGAGGCTGCTTGTCAAGATGAAGTATGCTCTGCTCATATAGGGGTATAAGGAAAAGATTCAGTTTAATTGTATGTCCAGCCCAATCTTTTATTTAGTTTTGGATAGTGTCAGCTGGTGCACCCATCGTTGGCTGATGTGTTGGAATCTAGAAGGAATGGTGATGTCACCCGCTTTTTTATGTGACAGTGCCGGTCCCAGCAGTTGCTCACTAAGCCCAAGCACTGCATCATGAGTGGAGGTGACATGCTTAAATATAACCACAAGCAGTGAGTATATGGCTTTAGCTGCAATGGAGAAAGGTGTGGTGGGAATTATTAGTAGGTCTGGTTGGAAAGTGTGGCTTCCCACAGGCATAATCACTAACACCTGTTGGGCAAAGTTTCTCCTTAGCAATATAAGGAAAATCCATATAGTTTATTAATTGGATTAATTGAAAAGCAAAGCAAATTGAGTCAAGCCAATGCTGATGAGCTTTTCAGATCTCTTTGCCAGAGACTCCATAGACATAAAGAGCTAGAGGGGTCCAACCTTACTATCCTTCCACCTAAAAGCAAAGAAATTGATTTCAAAAGTAGATGCTCATTAAAAGATGATAGCACTATTAAGAAACAATAAAAAAATCTGTTGACCTTATGTAATTAACCAAAATTGTCAGGAGGAAATTCCAGACTACAAAAACTGTCACTGGAATAGGAATAAGGGGGCAGTCACCCAAAAGTAACCCGTGTTCTGCTGACAAAAGGTGGAATTTCCCTTTGCTGTGGAGAGATTCTGTCTCACATCCTATCAGAATCCACACTTCCCCTCTCTATCCAAAACGGAATATCTGTTGTAGCTAGAGTACCTCTTTAAGTATTTGCCTTATTCGTAGTGTGAACACATTCTTGCAAAGTGTACTTAGTGAACAGTTGTCCTCTTTCAACAGTTCAGAAGATGTCTGCTTCAGATGTTCCACTGCCATGATCTGGAAGCTAGAGAGTCCAATAATCCAACCTCAGAGAGAGCAGCGCTGAATCGCAATGGTGGAGAAATGCAGACCCTAGCAGCACACATAACATCTAACAGGAAGACTGAAGAGGAACAGAGCAGCTGCAACTCTTTTGCTCAGCTGTCCATATCAGAAAACAAAGTACGCCCAATGTAACTTGATTGGGTGCATGTGACATTCAAAAGTGTGCAACACCTACAGAGTGCTGACATATGCACCTACATCACAAAGAAAAACTTGGTCAGGAGAACACATAAGTGAAAAAAAGTCTTCTATTGGTCAATAATGAACAAAAACTTTTCTGAACATGTTGGCAGTTTGCACTCGCAATCAGTGTTAAGTTGTGACTTAGTCAGATATTCAGTATTCATCTGAATGCAGTTTGCTGTGAAAAAAAAAAATTGCACATATAAAACACAGTAAAAAAAAAGGTTAATTTTGGAGAAAAACGTAGGACTCCTGGGACCTGATAAGACTCATATGCAGAAAAGTTAGATAATTTAATATATGCAGTTTACACCAAGTTTTCTAAATGTAAGCTATTCCTAACTCTGGTGTTGTCAGAATTCCACTTCTAGACAGTCACCTCTTCTGTGGACTGCACCACCAGGTAGTAAGTGAAAGAAGTAACTTTACTCTCAAAGTGTAATGCTAGCAAAAAAAAGAACCTTTGTCAAGGTAATTGTTCCTTGAGTCTCCATTGGGGAGATTTGCCGTATATATCTATATATGCTGTATGTATCTACAATGGAGAGTTCTCCCAAAGGGTTCCTTTAGCTATGGTGAAAGGGCGCCCTGGCTGATTGAAGCATAGCATGTTTTTTAAGGGGTGCTTTTTCAGTTTAAAAAAAAGTTTAAATAATAGGGAAAGATATGAGCCATCCTTGCCTAAGGAGGTGTGATTCGAGTCTCTACTTAAAGCAAACTGGGCTTTATTCAATCCAAACCAAAAGGTTTGCTTTAATAACCTACCCCTCCCCAGTATACACTTACTTTTCATTGCTACTCTGCATCTCTGTTCAGTGTCGGGAGCCAAAGGAAATACCGCTAAATATAGAGGAGCATGTGACAGCAGTGGGCCAACAACACACAATTAGTCCATACTCCATAGCCTTGCTTTCCCTCCTGATGGCTGGGAAGAGTAGGAGAGTGTTGTCAGGGGCTAGGTTAAAGTGAACCTTTTGCTTTGCCCTACATGCACAAAGCACAGGTTTATTTTAAGTAATACATGGGGGTGGAGTTACTGATCTTGAATGTCTACCCGCCCTTTCTGATTTAGTTTATTTTCATGGCCTTATTGAAGGATTTTATCTTGACCGCAGTTGGCCTCTGTTTTATGTCACCTGTTGACCTTTGGGTAGTCTGATGCCTGCCTGGAACCTATGGTTAGGACAGGCATTTAGGAAAGGTTATGATAGTTAAATGCCCACAGTTCATCCATGAGTGAAATTTATTTTGTTCAGATGCAATTTGTTGTTTGTTAATATGATGGAATAAGTGTGGTGTTAAATAGACATGTGCACCAGCAAAACATTTGTTTTGTTTCGTTTTGATTCAGATTTTGCGTCATTTAGTTTTTCGGAATTCGGTCCGAAAGTCAATTCGTTTTGGAATTCGGATGAAATTCATTTGCGGTAATCTGTGCAAAATGTCCTCTCCTTTTCGTTTCGTTCGTTACAGCAAAGTGACATTTAAGAGGAAAAAAAGTTTTTTTTTCTCAAATGTCACTTTGCTGCAACGAAATTTCGTCCAACAAATGAAATTTCATCCAGAATACCACTAACGCATTTCGGAATCAGAAATTCTGATTCGTTTGCATTCGTTATATCTGTAATTCGGATACATTCGAATCTACGAATTTCCGAAATGTTGTCAGAATTTTGATTCGGAATGAAACGAATCGCACATGTCTAGTGTTAAATGAACCCTATAAATCTGAGGTCTTGCCTTTCCAACACAACAGTTGCTATTTGGGCAAGGCTCCCCTTGATTGACCTGGTTAGGTGATATATATATATATATTATGGATGCACCGATACCGATACTAGTATCGGTATCGGTGCCAAAAATATTAAAGATGTTTTAACCCCTTCTAACTATACAAATTTAAAAGTTGAAATCCAGGAAGGATATTTTATGGATACTTGCATTGGTCCAGCTTGGCTCAATGTGAGTGTCCATATATAATCTCCGGAGGGGCGCTGGGGATGCTAAAAATCACTTTATTAGTCAGCGCTACATACAGTGTACAGCGGCTTCCACAAAATACAAGGAGTTCTCTGATTGAATGGGGTAGAGAGAAGGGGCAGATGACATCATGATCTTCACCTCTTCCAATCAGAGAACACCTTGTATTCATTGAAAAAAAAAACAAGGCCTCCTCTGAATGGTGACAGTGGCCAGCACATGACTCCTAGTGCTTAGTGTGGAGAGGGGAATCTGCTAGAACTGAAAAGACTAGAGCTGACTAATATAGTGATTTTATGCATCCCTCCACATATCAGATTTGGGTGCATATGTTGAGCCACGGTGAGGCAATGTAATTATCCCTAAAAGATCATTCCCCGAGTTCCACGTTAAGGAAAAAGTATCAGTTGAAGTTCTCACATGGAGAGCGAGCTTTATCCCATGTACATGTCAATTTTAATCAGACTGGGATATTTAAGACCCAATATGGTGATGGCTGCACTGGTGTGACAACATCATCCCATTAAAAGACTTGGTTGCCATAAATAGTTGAATCATTATATCTCTTAAAGTGTATTTTCACTTTTGCAGTCAAATTTGAGAAAACCCCTCCAATAATTTAAAAATATATATTTCTTACCTTTTTAGATGTTTTGTTGCATCAGGCAACATGGCTGACTCCAAGTTGTTCTATGCACCTTTACAGGGGTCTGCCCTTATAGAAAGACTTAGGACCGAAATTTGAGAATTGTGTTTCTCTCATTAACATTAAAATGCAGAAGCCAGGATTGTTATCCTTTAACCCCTTACATGAACTACATAAAGCAAGGGTCTCAAACTCAATTCGCTCGGGGGCCACTAGACAATTTTTTTCTCCCATGGGGGCCGCTTTCCAAATTTCATACTTCAAAATAAAATGCAACTATATTCGGTACCAGTGTTAATGTCTGTGTGTGTTTATGTCAGTATATGCATTTTTGATTCTTTCTATGCAATGGCAGTATATTTTTGTGATGGTTTGTGTGTGTGTCTATTGTCAGGATTTCTGTGAGTAGCGTTGGTATGTACTGTATGTTAATGTTTCTGTGTGTCATATCAGTATGTATACATGTGTATATGTGTGCAGTGTCAGTATGTAGGGGGATGCGGCCCGCACCCGGGTGTCACCATTGCAGGTGTGACACCAAAAGACTGACAGTCATTTTGGTGTCACCCCCCCTGTAAAAAGTCGGGCATTCGGTCATGGACCGAGAGCCTGACAGTGTCAGGAGAGAGGAGGGGACCCGGCGGCATACCTCATCCCTCCTCTCTCTGCCGGCGTCCATCATCAAGATGGCCGCTGTCAGGCATCATCAGATGGTCGTGCATGCGCAATGACGTCATCGCGCATGCGTGAGGTGACGTCACACGCGATGATGACACGGCGGGGTGTCACCCGGTCTAGAGACCGAGTGACACCCGACCTCGGGAAGCCCCTGAGTATGTGTGTGCTTTTTTTCCCCCCCACAGGTATTCATTTTATTCATAGAGGACCAAAAGATGCACACATTTACTTACACACAGAAATACGCAAACGCACAGACATACCCACATAAAAAAAGATACACAAAAAGAAATAACCCCCCCACACTTACCCACGGACATACACACAGAGAAACACACACCTTCGCACACATACAGAAATACACACACAATAACACACTGAGGCTCCATTCACACTGGAGCGGCTGTCCGCGCTTATTCGGCTGTACGAATACGTGCGGAACCGCTCTAAACAGAGAAAACAATGCAATTTAATGTGCATTGTTCTGACTATTGCAGGGACCTCGCAATATGGACCCCAAAATAGTTCAAGCGTGATAATCCGGCGGATTCCGCACATTCACGGCTATATATTAGCTGCAAACATGCGTAATCCGTGCAGTTCTTTCACATACAGTGTTTACATCCCGTGCAGTACAGAAAACCGCGCGGGAAATGCAAACGCTATATGTGAATGGAGCCTGGGAAATACACACAATAATACACACACAAAAAAACCCCCCATAAAACTTCCAACACACAAGTACACACATAATAACATACACACACCTGCAGTACAGTGAGAAAAACACTGGGGAGATCATAACGGTATATTGTTATGTAATTGAGCAGCTTTACCTGTGTGCATGTAATTGTAGTAAGCCTTCAGCTCTCACACCGCTGTGCAGTGAGTGACTTGCAGATACTCCCCCCTCAGCCCCTGGACAGCTCAGTGCTGTCAGTGAAGAACAGCTTTCTAACCCGACCTCGGGAAGCCCCTGAGTATGTGTGTGCTTTTTTTCCCCCCCACAGGTATTCATTTTATTCATAGAGGACCAAAAGATGCACACATTTACTTACACACAGAAATACGCAAACGCACAGACATACCCACATAAAAAAAGATACACAAAAAGAAATAACCCCCCCACACTTACCCACGGACATACACACAGAGAAACACACACCTTCGCACACATACAGAAATACACACACAATAACACACTGAGGCTCCATTCACACTGGAGCGGCTGTCCGCGCTTATTCGGCTGTACGAATACGTGCGGAACCGCTCTAAACAGAGAAAACAATGCAATTTAATGTGCATTGTTCTGACTATTGCAGGGACCTCGCAATATGGACCCCAAAATAGTTCAAGCGTGATAATCCGGCGGATTCCGCACATTCACGGCTATATATTAGCTGCAAACATGCGTAATCCGTGCAGTTCTTTCACATACAGTGTTTACATCCCGTGCAGTACAGAAAACCGCGCGGGAAATGCAAACGCTATATGTGAATGGAGCCTGGGAAATACACACAATAATACACACACAAAAAAACCCCCCATAAAACTTCCAACACACAAGTACACACATAATAACATACACACACCTGCAGTACAGTGAGAAAAACACTGGGGAGATCATAACGGTATATTGTTATGT